ATGATGAATATGATGAGTCATGATGTGAATATGATGAGTCATGATGTAAATATGATGAGTCATGATGTGAATATGATGAGTCATGATGTGAATATGATGAGTCATGATGTTAATATGATGAGTCATGATGTGAATATGATGAGTCATGGTGTAAATATGATGAGTCATGGTGTAAATATGATGAGTCATGATGTGAATATGATGAGTCATGGTGTAAATATGATGAGTCATGGTGTAAATATGATGAGTCATGATGTGAATATGATGAGTCATGATGTTAATATGATGAGTCATGATGTGAATATGATGAGTCATGATGTGAATATGATGCGTCATGGTGTAAATATGCTGCGTCATAGTGTATATTTTCTCTATTGTTCTCATGTTGTTGTTGTTTACCTGCCATTTCCTCCTCAGGATATACTTCTTCATCCTCTCTTTGGAGAGTTTCTTGGTTGTCATAGTGTTGGTGTCCTGTTTCAGCCATTTGTGATCGTAGCAATGAGCACAGGTGAGGCGCTTCCTGACACACACAGAAACACACACCCAGTCAGTTTTAGAGGTCTCGGTCTGTCCTTGCTCTACTTGCTGTCCGAACACGTTGTGAGTTTTCTTACTTCATGTCTTTCTTCAGCAGGTTGGTGATAAAGTCTTTGGCATCTTCTGAGATTTCGTCGAAGGCATCGTCCTCAAAGTCCCAGGAGGCCGAGGTCACGTTGGACAGAGTCTCATTGTCATTGTCGCCCATAAAGGGAGACAGACCGCTCAGCCTGAGACCCGAACACAGAGACGTTCATTACAACCAAAACTTCACCTCAAAACTACAGAAAAATGATTTAACTTCATAAGAGGTGAAGAATATTAATTAAAATAAAAGTTAACCTAAAGTGTAGAATTGCTAAAGTTATAACGAGTTGAACCATCAAATTTGACAAATGAGATATGCTAAGATAAGTTATGTTACAGTTATTTAAATTAATTAGGGAAAATAACCCAACGTGATATAAAATAAAATGAAACTGAGCTAAGTGACGCTAAGCTAAAGAAGCTAATCTAAAAGCTATACTAAAGATAACAGTGTTGAAGTGAACAAAATCAATACAAATACACTTTACCTTCTAACTTTAAAATAAAGAAAACTGAGTGAAATTAAAACAACAGGAAAGCTTTGTGTGGTTAAACAGACTCACAGAAGCTTGTTAGCTCGTTAGCTCGTTAGCACGTTAGCTTGACTCACAGTATATAACAGATGACTCCTATACTCCACATGTCGGTGGGATAACTGATGGCTTCGTAGTTGATCACTTCAGGAGCCACGAACTCTGGAGTCCCGAACAGAACCTTCAGAGTCCCGGCGTTTTCTGTCAGAGAACAGAACCAACATGTTACGGTTAAAAAACCTGGTAGCTTAGCGTTAAGCTTTATAGCCCAACGTTAGCGTTTTACTTCAAAAATCATAAAGTGGACTTTTTCTCAGAATTTGACTTTTTTCTGAGAATTAGACTTTTTTTTCTGAGAATTTGAATTTTTTCTCAGAATTAGAATTTTTTTTCAGAATTTGAATTTTTTTTTACATAATTTGACTTTTTTCTCAGAATTTGACTTTTTTTCCTAAGAATTTGACTTTTTTCTCAGGATTTGACTTTTTTTCTGAGAATTTGACTTTTTTCCTCAGAATTTGACTTTTTTCCTCAGAATTTGACTTTTTTTTCTCAGGATTTGACTTTTTTTCTGAGAATTTGACTTTTTTCCTCAGAATTTGACTTTTTTCTCAGAATTTGACTTTTTTCTCAAAATTTGATAATTTAACTTTTTTCTCAAAATGAGATCATTTGGTAGATATTAAACTGACCTAGTCGCCTGGCGAGGCCGAAGTCGATGAGCTTGATTTTGCTCCCAGTCTTCCCCACACACATTATGTTCTCTGGCTTCAGGTCCAGGTGTACGATGCCCTGCTTGTGGATGAAGTTCACCCCGTCGATGATCTGCAGCATGTATTTAATCACCTCTCTCTCCGTCAGCTCAAAGTCTTCATCGATGATCCGCTCAAACAGCTCGCCACCAGAGATCCTGAACAGAAACAATTCCTGCTGTTAGAAATATATAATAATGTTCCTGAGTCTTACTGAATCTTCTCATCTATAACCGATCCCTGGATCCTGAACGGAAACATCTCCAATTAAAAACATGAGCTGCTGTTCACAGATAACAACTTGTTCTGTTATACAATACAGCTTTATTTATTTAAAACCTCCACACAAAAGTACTTTTCTCAGAATTTAAGAATTGTACTTATTTCTCAGAACTTGACTTTCTTTCGTCAAACAAACAAACAAACATATAAATCACGCAGCTCAGCTCACATACCATAAAACAATACTAATAAAAACAAAAGACACTTTCAAAGCAAAAATCTACAACATGTCAAATATATAATAATGTTCCTGAGTCTTACGGAAACTTCAAATGTATAGCCGTTCGCTGGAGGCTAAAAGAAAACATCTCCAAATCAAACACGAGCTGCTGTTCACAGATATTAAAGTAAAATGTCCTTTTTTTAACGATGTGATCTTTAATCAGTGCTGAAGCTTCATATTATTGTTATTTATTTACTGAATGTTAACAACCCACTTCCTGTGCAAGCTCTCCCTGTTTATTTAGCAGATAATGTTTTTTCCAACCGGTTTAAATGTGAGCAGTTCTTTCCATTTAATCTGCAATAGGCAGACATTTTGAGATTCTGGTCGAGCTCGGGGTAATAAAGTAAATATGATGTTTTCACAGTAAACGCAGATAAAGCCTTGTTTTTGTTCAGAGCCAGATCTATATTTAGCAGACAGGAAATAGCTGCTCACATTCCTCTCATGCTCAGCCCCTACATTATTTTCCGACGTTCTCAGAAACATCTCGTCTGCTGCGGGTTTTTAAATTCCTACACTAAAGCAAGATGGATGAAGACAACATTATTATCATTAACAGTGACAAAAACTGAAGTATAAAAAATGAAGTATAAAAACAACAAATTGTGTTTTTTCTGAGGATTAACATTTGGAGTTTTAGAAAAAGCTGAAAGTTAGATTTCTTCACCTTCCCTTTGACGGCTATCTTAACTCAGCTAAGGTTTTCAGAGATCACATGGATCTGTTGGCTTCAAGACTGCCAATGTTTTAAAAGTATAATGTTAAGAAACAACATACTCGTTAATATCTCAATGCATTAAGCTAACCAGCTGCTAGCTTTCACATCAACTGTCGCCTCCAGACATAAACCTCATGACACCAGTTGTTACACAAAGCATTCATCTGGTTGCACCTTAGAATTTAATGTATATTTAATGTATTATTTTAATAGTTATCACTATCCGGTTCGGAACCGGTTCCAACATTTAGATTCCAACGGCATCATTTAGACATGTGAATTTTGGTTCCGCTTTTCGATGCCTGAGGAAATGTTGTCGCCGCTCTCCGTAGCCTACTGTATGACTGCGGCGGGCGGGAAATGTAGCGTTGTACCACTACCTACACTTCCTACAGCGTAACCTGGGACCAGGGCCGGCGCGTCGCACTGGCGTTATAGATGTTGGCCTAGGGCGCCAGATCTGGGGGGCGCTGCGCTGACAGCTCTGGGAGGGAAAAAACATTTTTGACCGTTGGTGCTCATCCTAATTTTCAGCCTTGATGTAACAACATTCATAATTAAGTAAATGTAACACCCTTTTCACCCCGGTTACACGTTTCATTTGCCCTGTACGATGGGGGCTGTAAGTGATGAAAGTGGGGGATGTTGGCTTATCTGGCGCCCGCAGCTCACAGCCAAAGTGCGAGTGAGCGAGGGAGAGAGGGAGGGTGCACCGGTAACAGCACTGTTGTTATTAGCATCTGGTGCTAGCTGCTCTAACGGATATAAGAAGAAAATATTTCTACAATGATGTGGAGGAGAGTCCTCTCCAGTCAGACTGAGAGGCTGATAACTACAGCTCAGTGAGGAAAAGGACTCTGAACTTAGACTAAAGTTAACTATCTAAACCCTCAAACAGATTGGTCACAATTTATGTAAACACATATTTCCAAGGCACTCCTTTATAATTATTGGGATAAACAGGTTTTAAATCATTCCAATATATACTATAGGACAGTAAACCAGACATATCGTTTTAAACTGGAGAGATAAAAAAATATGCATAAATAAAATATATTACTGTAAACTAAACTGTGTAAAAGTTTCTCCAATAAATGTAATTTTTTTGTTGGAAGAAGCATGTATAATTTTTTTACCCTGCCCCTCAAAGAATCGGAATTGAGAACCATTAAGAACCGGAATCCAAAAGTAGAATCGGAATCAGAATCGTGGAAATTCAAACGATACCCAACCCTAGTTATCACTGGATCAAACGGTATTTAACTGTATTTCACTGTACAATATTTAATCTTAGATTCTGTTTCTTTCACCTGCACTATTTTATTAAAGGTCCCATGTCATGGCCATTTCTACTGACCATAGTTCCATTGTTGAGGTCTACTAGAATAGATTCACATTGTTCAATGTTCCCAAACTCACATTGGTTTCTCATACAGCATCTCTGTATAGTCTGAGTATTCACTCTCTGTCCTACACGGCTTGTTTGAGCTCCTGCCCCACCCCCACTGTGCTCTGATTGGTCGGCTCGCCCACTCTGTTCTGATGAGTCCACCACCGTTACAGCTGAACATCAGTGATTATGTTTTACAATGGCGTTTGTTAGCAACCAGGAAATGACACCAGTAATG